AGGTAGGCAACACAAGGAACACTGAGGAATGATTAAAGTTAATTTAGATGGCCCATCACAAGGGTCTAAGACAAAACAACGGGGTCTCTAAACTCTCAGCAGCTCAGTATCTGAAAGATTTGACCACAGAAGAAAGCTACTCCATCCAGAATCCTGAACATTTATTTGTTTTAATATGAAGTGCCATACAGTCTTTTAAAAAGCTTCATACGACTTGCAAGTCAGCAGCACTGAGACCACAAACTCTCTCTGCATTTCTGACCTGCATATCAAACTTAGGGAAAGCAAGCTAATATTACTTTCTGCTTAACTGACATGCACCTTTCAGATTATTTCATATAAAATTTGAAACTAGTGGTACACTTGGAGGCATAAGCAGCACTAGTAAACATGCTATTTCCCTCACACAGAAGGTTTCAGGTTCGTTTAAAGTAAAGCTTCTTCCATATAGCATATTCTGCCATACTGAGTAAAGATTAGCTCCAGTTTCTTTCACAGAGCTTAAAGAACAATGTCAAAAGTATCTGCTTGTCTCAGTCAATGCAAAGTCAAGACCTGGAAACCACCTAATATTATATAATATAGCGACTGCCAAGTATTGTCTGAAAACCAAACCTTTTAAAACATAGGTTTTCTTAGCCTAAATTGGATACAGTATCTTTGTAATAACCTCCTGCTAAATGTGCTACACTTCTTTTCCAGGATTCAGAATTGTCAGTTATTATCAACCAAAGGAACAAAATGTTTCTATTATTTATGTTGATCCATTTCACGGATAGCAAAAGGATTCATCATCATGTGATGTTATTGTTATCTACTCTACCCAATGCCTAAGTGCCTGAGCTGTAGTCCAGGGCGCAGCAGTGGAAGGCAAATCCCCTATACCAAGTTTGCTTGTCCTAGCAATTCTTTAGAAAAGAGTATGCATGCAAAATGAAATGAAAGGCAAAGAAAACCATTTCAACTACCTTGCCATGTAGTTTGTGGACATCGTATCTTATTTGAGCAAATTCACGGAGTCCAAAAGATCCTCCAATGAGATATAGCTAAAAACAAAATGAAAACAGTTGTGTTAGGACTATGGTGCAAAAGAACACTTTGCATACTGACCCAACTCACTTACCAAGGTACCCTAGTATTCTTCCAACAGAAAGACCAGGACACAAAGAAAATAATAGACTGGAAAATTAGTATAGGAGCCTTCTTCCAATCTCTAGGCCTGGATTTCACACACTTCCTCCTTCATACTAAGACTGCTGCTACATGACTCTCACTTTCTAGGGACTTCCTCTCCTTTCATGCCTTCTTTTCCCTCTCCATGTGGCTTCCTGATGTAACTGCAGCAAAGGAACCTTTACCTCACTGCCACAGGATTTATTATCATAAATTTTCAAACTCTGTGAGGAGGTAACAATGCCATACTGACTCACTCTGATGTCTGTGGGTAAGTGATCTAACTGTAGCTGTAGTTCAATAATATATTATCAGAGAGGCTAAGAAATCATATCCAGCATACCTGCCCTTTTATTACTGCCTCCTTAGTTGTCCAGCAATTCCCTCCACACCTGTGAAGTTTATGAATAAGAATAATAAAGGGAGAAATGTGGGAGCTTCATATCCACATATGAAATAATTATTCTTTCTAATGACAGAGTGATATCACAATATTGTCTAAGTATTTTTACCTCAGAAATGGATAGACCAATCAAAGATCCAAGTATTGTTAAAAAATAAAGACTTGAAAATTAGCTTAGAAATCTAGCTGCTTTGTGGAAAAACTGGTCTTCTTGCTACCACTCTGACCTGACAGACTGTCTGATGCTCTCTGTTAAGGCAGATGCACAGGAAACCAAAGGGCTTGACATCTAGAGATGCACATCTATGGAAGGTGGAAGCATGAGAAAGCTCTAAGGACCTGAGTGAAAGGAAAAAAAAAACCAAACAAAAACCCACCACCCCCCTCTTTTATCACACCACATTGCTGTCACAGTCCTTCACTACAAGCTGTTGATGCACTGGTAACCGTTTTCTACACGCTGCTGGCTGATTTCTTGCCACATATTAGGTTTGTAGCAATGGCCTGTGTCCAAGAATTCTTGTAATTATGCTGCACAGATAGTCAAAATGCATGTTCTTCTCAAAAAGTAAAAGCTCACGTCACTGAGGCCACAAAGACATTTTCATTCAACTTAAATTAGAAACAAACAAACAAACAAACAAAAAGAAATCTTCTACATTTATTCATTCTCAAAGTTGCAGCACTCTGATTTCCCATCAAGCAGGTAAACCCACTCAAAACCATGTGAATGCACTCCACACACACACTTAAGATGCTGGTAAGCTACACACTGGTACCAGGAACTAATGTACTCTGTTCACAGAAGAAGGAACCTTTCACCAATAGCCAGGAGTTGAAAGCTCCAGAGTCTCTTTCTGGCCCTTTTCATAAACCTAAGAATCGAGCCGATAATTAGAAACAAAAATTAGACAAAAATTTCACTATATGAACACCCAGCTGCCAGGCCACAGAACTCTGATTTCAGAAAGCCAATCAGAAAACCATCACATGGCAGCAAGTTAACTTCCAGCCACCAGAAATATGAACGGCCAAAAACTGGATGGCACCATACACAAGCCATAACCATTGCAAAGAATTAATGATGATCTTGCATATATTAACAGGAAGCAGAAAACAAAGTGTTTGAAATGGTTGAAAAAACCCTGAACATTATTCAGAATTTAGTCAATCAAATCAGAACATTTGTCAGCTGAAAAGACAGAAGGACATAATGCTAGAAGTCTCGAGGATCAGACTATAATTGAATTTTAACATGGTTGATGCCTCAGCATAAATTTTCATTAGCTGATCTTCTTTAACTCCTAACAAGTAGTATGTTAATTAGCAGCCAGTGAATTAACTCAACAAACTTTAAGTCCTAATGAAAAGAAAGCAGAAATGCTATAGACAAATTTATGGCTGTTACAAACCACAGCTTATTGCCTTTTTGTATATTAGTATGCTGTCAAAGAGTGTCTATGGCAGGGCAAAAACAACTGCACTAGAAATGGTTCAGTACACAGTTGTTAAACCAGGCAGAAAGTAGCAATTACTTGTGACATCAATTAAAAATTAATCTGCCCAACAATAAACTTGCATGAAGTACATACCGTTATGAGATGCAATGTGAACAAGCGGAAGACCTTTAATAGGCCTGTTTCTCATAACCCAACTATTCTTTAACATAATGAAAAGGTGCACTATAGTTTACAGAGACATGCTGCAAGCTAAAAAGGAAGTATTGCATTCTTTAGTTTTGATCATTTAAAACTACATAATGTACACTGTAACTAAGGGAAATCAAGGAGAAAGCTGTTGCATGAAGCAAGTCGTGCTACTCATTCTGTCTCATCACATCCTATCACTTGTTTGACAGCAACCATCCCTTTCACAGTGCATTTTACATTTGCAGCTATACATGATAAAGAAGTTCATACACATCTCTCAATTTCTGTAAACAGGTTTTGGCCTGACACTGCAGTTTTATTCACATCACCTTTATACTACTAATGAGAAAAAAACACTTGGTTTCTGATGTACTTTTGCTCTTCATACTGCACAAGGAACATAACTAGCCTGGCAGGTTGGCACATATCACTTATCAGGCATTACTAGTCTAGCTGCCTTTACATTTCCAGTACTGGAACGGTTGATTTATCTTACAATGAAGCATCAGTTAAGCTGCATCAGACACAAAGCACATTAATGCTGTAAGAAAAGTACAAATGCCACTGGAATACTACACAGTGCAATGCTGGAAGATTAGGATTAAGACTAAATAATTTTCCAAAGCACAGAATATATACAAAAATATAAATGTTTACAAGCTTACTTGACCAATGTTCTAAAGAACCAAACATGATGTCTGACTTCATTGCAAAACCAGACCAGAATCAGTCATACTCAGCACTTACTTGATCAACCAACAGCATGTCAATATAGTCAGCTGACAGCCCTGAGCATAAATTGCATTCATCTACACAAGCCAGAGCAGCAAATGGACAGCTATTCAGTCAATTAGGTTTTTGAAGTCTGTGTTCAAAAGCCAATAAAAGAAGGTATAAATGAATTTATGCAACTGTAATACCATCAAAGGTATCAAAGGACTCAGTGACTGACAATGCATTGAGTAGAAATACTAGCCTTGGTTTAACTGTTTCCTTTTCCTTCTGTTGCATTATGAGATGTCCTCACTACCTTGACTTAACTGTATTTACATACAAACAACAACGAAGCAGCAAAAGTCAGCAAAATAATAAAAAGTGGGATAAGATTCAAGTTAAAAAAATTCAAGCAACATTATCAGCCTGCTGGCTTTGCATAGTCTGTATGTCTCACATATATTTCTAGTTCCCCAATCTGTAAAACAGATATAATCTCTACATTCCTTGCAAAACACTACTCAGTTAAAAAAGCACTGCAATGGACAAATTTGCTCAATGTAAGCCAAGGGCAACAGCAAAGTCCAGTATGTTCCATCCACTAGTCCAGGCATCAAGAGACAGTAGAAGCTATTCAGGACACCATATAAGTCAAACAGGTAGGTTGGCAACATTCTAATAGTGTCAGGCTTAAGTTCACTCTCCAGTTAGCTGGAAGGGGAAGAATAATGCAACATACAATTAAAATTAAAATATATTTTTCTTCATTGTGATTTTAGAATCATACCGACACTTAACGTACATCATGAAATATTAAGGCACTGGCATCTGAATGATACTCAAGCTGGAAAGTTCATATATACCAGCATTCTTTTATTGTGAGGGAACTATTTATTTTATTTGCTTCACAATGCAGAGCAAAAACTACTATTATGTAGTGAACATCACCTTTCTAGTTACTTGAATGCTTTCAGCAGATTGATGAAATTATCATAGCTTCTCACTTTTTCCTTTACACCTGAAGTTTAACTTCGAAGGCAAAAATCATAAAACGTACTAATTAGCCAGCAGTTAACACCAAAGCAAACAGCTTAACAGCACTGCTAGCATAACCCCCCATTAAAGATCCCACATTGGATTATTCCTTTATGTTTCAGTGAGTACACAAAAAAACCCCTACAATGTTGTAATGCAATTATGCATGCATGGAAGACTTGCATGTTCCAAAACAAAATGAAAGATAGGATGTGACATAAGAGCACCATCTGTCACATACACTCAGCAACCTCAATAAACATTTTATGTAAAAAAATGACATAAAATTCTCTTTAATAACATTCTTTTAAAAATTCTATTTGTTCACTTCTCCACTGGAAAGCATGTTATGCAATGAGTTAAGGATGGCATCAGACTGATCCCTTGAACCTCATCTTAGGATGGGAAATACTTGTATTTGTCACTAACTACAGTGAACGGTCACTGAGGGCTCATAACAGCAGAATTTAGGACTTGCAACAGATCCCTACTATTTTAAGTTGCCTGCATAATCTAAAGCAGCCATCTTCAGTTACTAGGGTTAACAAAAGAGCAAGAAACCATTTCTCTAGCAGCACCAGCAACTTGCCATGTTATAGGTATCCCTGTTGTTAGAGAAAGCCATTCCTACTACAGTACCAATTGTGGAAGCCAGATTATTACAAAGTCATAAATCCCTAAATTAACCAAATCACAATATTTAGTGCTGGCAACATAGATCATGGAGTGATAGAAAATATTATGATACATATCACTGGAGAAGGAAAACGGCAATTTTCTAACCTCTTCTTCAAGACTGCTGCTTTTGCAAAACTCTGCAGTTGTTCATCAGGAGCTTCTAAACTAGAGCAGTTGTGAATTATTTTAATTTAGTTTGCAGTGGTCACAGCAAAGAGAGTTTTGTGGTTTTCTTTTTAAAGAACTGTCATATGTGCAGCACAAGACTGGTAAAAGATAGCAATTTGGCAGTCCCTAAGACTGAAGCCTCTTTTCTGTTCCCTAAATAAAGCAGCAGGGCAAACTGCCAGTCCCAGCAAAGACCCAGGTAAGTCATCTTAACCTGAAGCGCCCC